TATTTACTGTCTCACGAACTCAAGCGATCATTCGCTTAACAGTTCTTAAGATTCTTTGCGTTCAACAGCAACTTAGCCATTGCAAAGTGAGGAACCCTAGTTAAGGGTATGTATACCAAATTATTTAAAATGGAGTGAGTGCTGTATAAATCAACCTCTTATGGTTCCAAATGTTTCGGATTTCTAGGGAGGAGGTCGGCTTAGATAGGTGATGTTCAATACCTGTGTTTATTAATGTGGTCAGAAATATTTGTTACTTTCAAAGGTTATCGCCTCTGAGAAGAGATCTCAACAAGATGCTTCACTAGCTTTTCTAATTTCAGGTATTAATGCTGCAAACCATGAATGATCGTTTCTAAAGATATTATTATTAATTAAAACAAACTTATACATATGCTCATGCCAGGAACAATTGCTTAAAAATCTTCCATGGAGAACAAATTTAAATCTTCCGAACCAGAAGAAAAATTTTATATAAGTTTTTAATAAAAGATTTGTTTCATACAAGTCATCTCCCCCCCCCTCCGTAAGAAATCGGAACGGAAAAAAAATGAAAATTTTAAAATAAATAAATAAGTAAACAAATAAGAAAGTGCTGAAAATCATTCTCGAATTTGCAGGCTGAAGCCTAAAACCCTAGGGACAGCTCTGTTTACATGCATATAATTTGTGGTTAACTATAAAAAGTAGACTATAGAGTATGCTCTGCAGCAGACAACTTCTGATGGAACAATTACTTAAAAGCGAGGTACTTATTCCACGTTGAAGGACAAAACTTTTTTCGAGTTTGTTTATGAATTCGTAACAATACCAGTTAAGGTTATTTCAGTACTGATCGGCATAAGATACCTTTCGACATCGCTAATGGATATGGGCACATTTAACAACTAGCAAATGAAATCCAGCATTCATTCATTTACATTTCATTTCATTAAACTCTGAATTAAACTACCAGTCTCCACTTTCTTAATTGTTCTAAACATCATTGTTTTTGTGCAAGAGAAAAAACTATAAGAAAATCATTTGCGTATGCAAAGTTGCGAAACAAATGGTATTAAGTATCGAAAAACGAAATTTATATATGCAAAGGATGTGAGAGGATAAGACAGTTTTTAACATATGTAATAGATGTGTATACCATATCTGTCTCTCTCTGTATGTACCCATATATGCACGCGATCTGGTGTGTGTCGTAACATATAGAAGTTAACATAATTTAACATATATAAGAAATAAATCATTTTTAAGAACTTTTTATGGGTTTTAAAGCTCGTAAAGTATTAGTGTAACATCTCAGCTCTCTTTTTTACGCAACTGGAAAGCATTTGACACGTTCCTGAAGCCTCAAGCGGCAGATGGCCGTAGCCTCAAATGAAAAGCATATCTCTATATATCCGGCTACTTCAAGAAAGAGTTTTCATTCGGCCTTAGTTACATATTAAACAAGAGCAGCTGCATTAAATATCAAGGTTAAAAAAAAGGGGAGAAATCTTACAAAAACGCTGACAAAGAATTTAGCCCGAAGACCTGTTTAGCTGAGTACATAGGGAAAAGTTCTCCACTTCTGGAAACGATATAGAACAATATCTTTTCCTCTAAGCACTTCTTCGTAACAAAAGAAAGAACCGCATTTCTGCTTAGACAAAGAAAACGTATTCATTGTGCATTCGAAGAATAAGGCAAAGAAATCGTCCATTCAAAAATCGATTGGTTATTCAATGAATTGAGTAAACAGAAGCCATATTTGGCCACTCTTTCCATTAAATGTTATCACTGATGTGGAAACAGAAATAAAGACTGTAATAAAATATTACAAAACCTTTGAGTCGTCTAATTATTTGTTGACACTACAAACCTTTCAGTGCTCTTCTGAACTTTTTAAGCGCTTAAAACTCTGCGATAAAATAGAATTTGTTCTACACAAATGCACATAAAAATACATTGTAAAAGAAAAAACTAAAGGAAGGCTATAAGGAAAAAATTACATTCCCTTAGAATCACACAAACACACATACACACACGCATACATATATATATATATATATATACGTATATTTGCATTAAGAAATATAAAATTAAAGTTTGGTCTGAAAGTTACATAAGAGACATTACTTGAGATTTTGCTGGAAAAAGCAAATTTAGATCGATATTAGTGAATTTAAAATGATCATCCAAACGTAAATAAATAAGAAAGAATAATAAAATATAAAATGCAGAAATTAACCAATAAGTTACCGAAGAAAAATACTTTTTATTATTAGAAAATGTTTGTCATACATTCAGGGCCGCCGCGTGGAGGTGGCATAATTTTTCACCGCACAAGGACGCCTGGGCCAGGGGGGCGTTAAAATTTATTCTTATCACAAGAAATAAAACACAATTCTGGATTTTTTTTTCTTTTAGATATGCGTATAATATCACAATATCATGCAATTAGTTTGTAAATGAATAATCTGTGTTGAATTTATATTTAATAGAATGGTAACTGTATGCAATGTAGTATCATATGTACTGTGTTATTTAGTCCTGTATACATTAGTGTTTTAAAAGTAAAGGTAGTATTATTGCTATACAGCAATTGTATAGTATTAATAACTGTATCTAAATATTTGCAGGTTAATTTTTGTATTCTATTCATTGTATATTCCATTATTAACTGTCTCTTGAACTCACTTGCATGTGTATGTATATATAATATACATATATATGTATATATATATATATATAATTTTTTTGTTTTGATTTGTATTTGAAGTATCTGAGTTGAATGTAAGTTTAATAGAATCGTAAAATATGTACTAAAATATCACAAATACTGTGGTGTATAGTTCTCATGTAAATAATTGGTACTCTTGGTTTAAATTGCAACAACAGTATTCAAGTATTGATAGGTTAAAGAAGTTAATAGTAATAATTAATAGGAACTTTGCTAATGGTATGCTGCAAATCTAATCTAATTCTGCTATCTTACGGTAAGGTGCATTTGAAGGTTTTTAGGTTAACTCTACGTCCTATATAGCTATTTAGGAAGTTCTTAAAAAAATAGTTCGGCTTAAAATTGACTGGTGTACCAATGTTTTCATTGTATCCCTAAGACTCTAATGTTAAATTGTATAGAATTGTCTGAATAAGAAATGCCTTATAATTGTATATCTAAGATGTATGTTTATGCAGACTATTTATTTTTCTGAAAACAGTAATTGTAACCCTGGTCACAGGAATTTTTATAGAACTGTGTAAAACTGCATGTCTGAAATCAATATTAATGGCTGAAGTATGTCGCAAAGGACTGATTATAAATAAGCTGTGATAAATGTATGACGTATGTATTAGAAGAAAAATTGTTGCACACTGTTGCACACTGACCTTGTTTGCCCATGTATCTCTTTGTTTTAAGACTCAGTAATTGCCATCTGAGCTTCCGGAGGCAGAGGCTTTAATCCGTGTAAAACAGTCTGCTAGACTGCAAGGCAACGGAGCCCCTGTTCTCTGGTATATAATAATAATAATAATAATATCACACAGTAGTTACATTTTAAACTACTAAAGCATCAAATGAAACCCAATCCGAAGCTCAGAGAGAGCTAATCCGATCTCACTGCAAATTCGCTACAGTCAAGGGAAATTCACTGCAAATTCACCGGAGAGAAATATCTCAGTTTAATAAACAACTAAAGTGAGATATTTCTCTCCGGCGTTTTAAAACTTTTTAATCGTGCACCAGAAGGTTCTGGTAATTTCCATTTTCTCGAGATTTCTGTGAAGCAAATGATTAGAAATAAGGTCACAGCTAACACAGTAGTCAATGACATTTATTCAGTTTAAATATACTCGTAAATTACCAGATATGTATCATTAAATGCTCGTGCTCCAGTATTTTTACTTTTCCGGCGTAGTTTCTCTTAAAACTCGTCACGCGCTGCATTACACGGGAAAATAAAACGATTTTAATTACAATTCTACTAAAAATTGATAATTAAATACCAAATCGGAACAATATATTCGTTATTCTCTTCAGATCTAGGTGTCATATATTATTGTGTGGTCTTATTCATCTGTATTATAGCTCTTATGTATTGCTGGGTATTTCCTTACTTCTGCAAGCCTCATGACCTATCTGGTAGAACAAGTGAGGTTTTGCATTTCTTTTCTTAAATAACAATACCAACAATAATATATAACGGTAAAAGTAGTTGTGGCAGGAGGAGTGCGTCCAAGAGAAGGCAGATAAACTTCGAGCTCAGTGGCAACAGGAAAAACCTTAACTAACTTTCTGATGCAAAATTACAATCTAAATCCTTTCAGACTTTTTTGTTTTCCTTTTTTCTAAAGGACGTTCTTGTTTTGAGTGCTGTGTTATTTTACATAGCCAAATAAATTTGTCTACAAATTCTACAAATTAAATTACTCCAAAACATAGTTAAAATATTAACTGTCAGTTTTTATTTATTATAACACATTTTATTCTCCCTTCCTGCAATTTTAATTGCAGTCCCGATAACCGTCAAAGGACTAAACTGCGAGTGTGTTTCGCTAAATTTTCAATTGTTGTAGCTGCTTTTATATTACCAGTCTTGATGCAGATGTCAAACATTTTTGCTTCGAAAACAGCAGTCAACCTAGCAGGCCATTATGTTGTTCCAAGGCGAAAATATTTCAAATACGTGGCATCAATTGCAACCAAAATTTCAAGTTAAAAAATACTGAATGTAATAAAAATAACTTTAAGAACACTCCTCTCTACTTCTCCAAAAGCAGGTGCGATATTTATCATTTAAATTTTACAATATTATCTTTCAAACTACAACATTAGTATTTACAATTATAGATGGCCGGGCCGCGGGCGGCACGTGGCAAAATAGCTGGTCTTGAATGATACGTCGGCCCCGAAGCACAATTATTTCTGCCCGAGAATATATGTTTCGTCCTAATCCTCTTGCTGCTGCGCCTTTTTACTTCTGCTCTTCTTCCTGCTGCTCCTCCCCTTGCTGCTCCTCCTCATGCTGCTCCTCACTGTTGCTGCTCCTCCTCCCGCTGCTTCACCTCTTGCTGCTCCTCCTCCCGCTAATCCTCCTCCTGCTGCTCCTCCTCATTGAGGAGCAGCAGAGGAGGAGCAGCAGGAAGAGGAGCAGCGGGAGGAGGAGCAGCGGGAAGCCTGAGGAAGAGGAGAAGCATGCGAAGGAGCAGCCTGAGGAGGAGGAGCAGCAGGAGGAGCAGCGGGAGGAGGAGCAGCATGCGGAGGAGCAGCGTGAGGAGGAGCAGCTTGAGGAGGAGCAGCCTGAGGAGGAGGAGCTGGAGGGAAGCAGCCTGAAAAGGAGGAGCAGTTAGAGGAGGAGCAGTAAGGGAGCAGCGGGAGGAGGAGCAGCAGCATGAGGAGGAGCAGCCTGAGGAGGAGGACTGGAGGAGGAGCAGCAGGAGGAGGAGCAGCGGGAGGAGGAACAGCCTGAAAAGGAGGAGCAGGAGGAGGAGCAGCGTGAGGAGGAGGAGCTGGAGGAGGAGCAGCCTGAAAAGGAGGAGCAGGAGGAGGAGCAGCAGGAAGCCTGAGGAGGAAGAGCAGCATGCGGAGGAGCAGCCTGAGGAGGAGGAGCAGCAGGAGGAGGAGCAGCGGGAAGGAGGAGAGAGAGAAGCAGCAGCAGAGGAGAGGAGGAGGAGGAGCAGCGTGAGGAGGAGGAGCTGGAGGAGGAGCAGCCTGAAAAGGAGGAGCAGCGGGAAGCCTGAGGAGGAGGAGCAGTTAGAGGAGGAGCAGCCTGAGAAGGAGGAGCAATAGGGGAGCAGCGGGAGGAGGAGCAGCAGCATGAGGAGGAGCAGCCTGAGGAGGAGGACCTGGAGGAGGAGCAGCAGGAGGAGGAGCAGCGGGAGGCCTGAGGAAGAGGAGAAGCAGCATGCAGAGGAGCAGCCTGAGGAGGAGGAGCTGGAGGAGGAGCAGCCTGAAAAGGAGGAGCAGGAGGAGGAGCAGCGTGAAAAGGAGGAGCAGGAGGAGGAGCAGCGGGAAGCCTGAGGAGGAGGAGCAGTTAGAGGAGGAGCAGCCTGAGTAGGAGGAGCGCAGCGGGAGGAGGAGCAGCAGCAGCATGAGAGGAGCAGCCTGAGGAGGAGGAGGGGAGCAGGAGCAGAGAAGGAGCAGCAGGAGGAGGGCAGGGGAGGAGAGGAACAGTTAAAGGAGCAGCATGCGGAGGAGCAGCCTGAGGAGGAGGAGCAGTAGGAGGAGCAGCCTGAGGAGGAGAAGCAGGAGGGGCCAGGAGAGAGGAACAGCCTGAGGAGGGGCATTCTGAGGAGGAGCTGCTGGAGGAGGAGCAGTTAGAGGAGGAGGAGGAACAGTTAGATGAGGAGCAGCATGCGGAGGAGCAGCCTGAGGAAGAGCAGCTTGCGGAGGAGCAATCTGAGGAGGAGGAGCAGCGGGAGGAGGAGCAGCAGGTGGAGGAGCAGCCTGAGGAGGAGGAGCAGTTAGAGGAGGAGCGAGAGGAGGAGCAGCCTGAGGAGGAGCAGGACGAGGAGCAGCCTGAGGAGGAGGAGCAGCAGGAGGAGGAGCAGGAGGAGGAGCAGGATGAGGATGAGGAGCAGGAAAAGGAGGAGCAGAAGGAGGAGAAGCAACGGGAGGCGGAGCAGCAGGAGGAGGAGCAGCAGGAGGACTTTACTATAAGGAGGATATATTACTTTAAAACCACTGTCCAACACCAGATGGAAAAGTAGAATTCAGGCTTTGGTCTTCAGTTTAAGACGTAACGGAAGGATCGAATCGAAGAAAATGATTTAAAGGGAAATTTGAGAGCGTTCAAAAGATACATAGAATTAAGAACTCAAACAAAAAAGTTGATTCAGATGGTTTGACGTTTAAATTAATTTGTTCCATTAACATCTGGCACGATATTTTAAATTTAGTAAATGTGGTATATGAAATAATGCAAAACTCAAAATGTGATTTTCAAATCGTGACTGACAATTTACAAAATCTAATATCAGAACTCAATAATCGTAGACCTGATGAAGCGCATGAACACGCAATTGCCAATGCAAGTATCGTTGCTGATGGTTTGGGGGTGGATACTGACTTTCGAAACAGGTTTAAACAAAAACAGCTTTTCAGTCGAAACAAAACAGGTTTTTTGCGAAACAGGTTTTAAGTCAAAACTGGTTTAAAAAGAAACTACTTCAAGATGAACAAACCAATCAAAAATCCGAGACAAAAATTTAAGGTTGAATATTACAATATAATATTAGACACTACTATTTCTTCAATTATTGAAATATTCAGTCAATTAAAAGAACATTACAATTACTTCACTTCAGTATATACCTAATTTAAAAAACTGGAGTTACAATGAAATTTTAAAGCATTTTAGAGGATTAGAACAAAAGTTAATGGATACTAAAATGTTAATGGAAAGGATACTGACGGATTAAATTTGGTTGAAGAAATGAAATCTTTGCGACATTTTACTATAGAGGATTTGTCACATATTGATGTTTTAAATTATATTTATGAAAACAATCTTCCCCCTACATGCGGAGGAGCAGCCTGAAGAGGAGGAGCAGCGGTAGGAGGAACAGCCTGAAAAGGAGGAGCAGGAGGAGGAGCAGCCTGAGGAGGAGGAGCGGGAAGCCTGAGGAGGAGGAGCGGGAAGCCTGAGGAAGAGGAGCAGCAGCATGAGGAGGAGCAGCCTGAGGAGGAGGAGCAGCTTGAGGAGGAGCAGCGGGAGGAGGAACAGCCTGAAAAGGAGGAGCAGGAGGAGGAGGAGCCTGAGGAGGAGGAGCGGGAAGCCTGAGGAAGAGGAGAAGCAGCATGCAGAGGAGCAGCCTGAAAAGGAGGAGCAGGAGGAGGAGCAGCGTGAGGAGGAGGAGCTGGAGGAGGAGCAGCAGGTGCAGGAGCAGCGGGAGGAGGAGCAGCCTGAAAAGGAGGAGCAGCTTGAGGAGGAGCAGCGGGAGCAGGAACAGCCTGAAAAGGAGGAGCAGGAGGAGGAGCAGCCTGAGGAGGAGGAGCGGGAAGCCTGAGGAAGAGGAGAAGCAGCATGCAGAGGAGCAGCCTGAGGAGGAGGAGCTGGAGGAGGAGCAGCCTGAAAAGGAGGAGCAGGAGGAGGAGCAGCGTGAGGAGGAGGAGCAGGAGGAGGAGCAGCAGGAAGCCTGAGGAGGAAGAGCAGCATGCGGAGGAGCAGCCTGAGGAGGAGGAGCAGCAGGAGGAGGAGCAACCTGAAGAGGAGGAGCAGACTGAGGAGGAGGAAAAGCAGCCTGAAAAGGAGGAGCAGGAGGAGGAGCAGCGGGAAGCCTGAGGAGGAGGAGCAGTTACAGGAGGAGCAGCCTGAGAAGGAGGATCAATAGGGGAGCAGCGGGAGGAGGAGCAGCAGCATGAGGAGGCGCAGCTAGAGGAGGACCTGGAGGAGGAGCAGCCAGGAGGAGGAGGCAGCAGGAGGAGGAGCGCGGGGAGGAGGAGCAGGCCTGAAAAGGAGGAGAGCTTGAGGAGGAGAGCGGGAGAGGAACAGCCTGAAAAGGAGGAGCGGGAGGAGGAGCAGCCTGAGGAGGAGCAGCCTGAGGAAGAGCAGCTGGAGGAGGAGGATTTGGAGGAGGAGCAGCTGGAGGAGGAGGAGCCTGAGGAGGAGGAGCAGCCTGAAAAGGAGGAGCAGGAGGAGGAGCAGCGGGAAGCCTGAGGAGGAAGGAGCAGGTTAGAGGAGGAGCAGCCTGAGAAGGAGGAGCAATAGGGGAGCAGCGGGAGGAGGAGCAGCAGCATGAGGAGAGAGCTGAGGAGGAGGACCTGGAGGAGGAGCAGCAGGAGGAGGAGCAGCGGGAGGCCTGAGGAAGAGGAGAAGCAGCATGCAGAGGAGCAGCCTGAGGAGGAGGACCTGGAGGAGGAGCAGCAGGAGGAGGAGCAGCGGGAGGCCTGAGGAAGAGGAGAAGCAGCATGCAGAGGAGCAGCTTGAGGAGGAGCAGCGGGAGGAGGAACAGCCTGAAAAGGAGGAGCAGGAGGAGGAGCAGCCTGAGGAGGAGGAGAAGCAGCCTGAAAAGGAGGAGCAGGAGGAGGAGCAGCGGGAAGCCTGAGGAGGAGGAGCAGTTAGAGGAGGAGCAGCCTGAGAAGGAGGAGCAATAGGGGAGCAGCGGGAGGAGGAGCAGCAGCATGAGGAGGAGCAGCCTGAGGAGGAGGACCTGGAGGAGGAGCAGGAGGAGGAGCAGCGGGAGGAGGAGGAGGAGCAGCCTGAAAAGGAGGAGCAGCTTGAGGTGGAGCAGCGGGAGGAGGAACAGCCTGAAGAGGAGGAGCAGCGGGAGGAGGAACAGCCTGAAAAGGAGGAGCAGGAGGAGGAGCAGCGGGAGGAGAGGAACAGTTAAAGGAGCAGCATGCGGAGGAGCAGCCTGAGGAGGAGGAGCTGGAGGAGGAAGCAGCAAGAGAAGGAGCAGCAGGAGGAGGAGCAGCGGGAGGAGAGGAACAGTTAAAGGAGCAGCATGCGGAGGAGGAGCAGTAGGAGGAGCAGCCTGAGGAGGAGAAGCAGGAGGAGGAGCAGGAGGAGGAACAGCCTGAGGAGGGGCATTCTGAGGAGGAGCTGCTGGAGGAGGAGCAGTTAGAGGAGGAGCAGCATGCGGAGGAGCAGCCTGAGGAAGAGCAGCTTGCGGAGGAGCAATCTGAGGAGGAGGAGCAGCGGGAGGAGGAGCAGCAGGTGGAGGAGCAGCCTGAGGAGGAGGAGCAGTTAGAGGAGGAGCGAGAGGAGGAGCAGCCTGAGGAGGAGGAGCAGCAGGAGGAGGAGCAGGATGAGGATGAGGAGCAGGAAAAGGAGGAGCAGAAGGAGGAGAAGCAACGGGAGGCGGAGCAGCAGGAGGAGGAGCAGCATGAAGGAGGACTTTAGCTATAAGGAGGTAACATATATTACTTTGAAAACCACTGTTCCAACACCAGAAGAAAAAGTAGAATTCAGGCTTTGGTCTTCAGTTTAAGAACGTAATATAAGGATCGAATCGAAAAAATGATTTGAAGGGAAAGTTTGAGAGCGTTCATAAATATTCAAGATCAAACAAGAGACACAGAATTAAGAACTCAAGCAAAAGAGTTGATTTAGATGGTTTGACTTTTAAATTCATTTGTTCCATTAAAATCTGATGCGATGTTTTAAATTTAGTAAAGATTTAAATGATGTAATGCAAAACTCTAAATGTGATTTAAAAATCGTGACTGACAATTTACAAAATCTTAGATCAGAACTCAATAATCGTAGACCTGATGAAGCGTATGATTACGCAATTGCGGATGCAAGTATCGTTGCTGATGGTTTGGGGGTGGATACTGACTTTCGGAACAGGTTTAAACAAAAACAGGGCTTTTCAGTCGAAACAAAACAGGTTTTTTTGCGAAACAGGTTTTAAGTTGAAACTGGTTTAAAAAGAAACTACTTCAAGATGAACAAACCAATCAAAAATCCGAGACAAAAATTTAAGGTTGAATTTTACAATATAATATTAGACACTACTATTTCTTCAATTATTGAAATATTCAGTCAATTAAAAGAACATTACAATTACTTCAAGGTAGTACACTATATACCTAATTTAAAAAACTGGAGTGACAATGAAATTTTAAAGCATTGTAAAGGATTAGAACAAAAGTTAATGGATACTAAAAATGTTAATGGAAAGGATACTGACGGATTAAATTTGGTTTGAAGAAATGAAAAAATCTTTGCGACATTTTTACAATAGAGGATTTGTCACATATTGATGTTTTAAATTATATTTATGAAAACAATCTTCCCCCTACATTTCCAAATATTGAAATAAATTTTACGGATTTTTTTAACCCTGAGAGTTTCGGTGGCTACTGGAGAAAGAAGTTTTTCAGAACTTAAAAGTATAAAAAACTACATGCGATCTACGATGGCACCAGAGAAGTTATCGGACTAGTCGGATATCCAAAGAGAGCCAAATTTTGGATAAATTAAATATAAAGGAATTAATACGCCCGTTTGTTGCTGCTAAAGCTAGGAGAATCAATATTTGAATATATTTTTCTAATTTTTATATTTTACTTAAAAAATATTTTATCATTGTTTAGTTTTTATAATTTAAGAAATAATAAAAAAAACAATAATATAAACGCGTGTTTTAATGTTATAAAGCTTTTCTGTTCGAAGACAAATTTTGAATATTATAAAAGAGTATTTCACACATAATTTGCAACACTTTACATGAGTGCAACAGGACGCCATAAAGGGGCGCCTAATACCCACGCGGCGGCTCTGCATACATTGTCTCGTCGGGGTGGAGGAGGACAAAGCATGGCGTATCAGTACAATGAACCATACCCAGGCATGGTTCTGAACATACAGTTTGAACATTATGCAACTAAAAAAAAACTGAAAAATTAAACAAGATAATTAATAATATGAAAGAAAGATTAAATGTTATACATCCCTCTTATACTTAACTAATAAAAGAGTGAAACAACGAAGTGGGAAATGCAAATTTGTATGAAAATTCTGCTGAAAAATTAAATATGAATTTAAACTGGTAATCTAAAAAACAGTTAAAAAAGTTATATAAACCTTTTAAACTCACGCACAGAAGGGGTTTCTTTCAGCATAGGGCATAACACTATTATCAAACTTGTAACTTACCATTATAAAAATTTGATTATTTTTGTAACATAAGAGTTTATTATTAAAATTATTCTTATAACATACTATAATTTATTTTTATTATTATAACTTTTATAAATGTGTCGCTTACTGTTAATATTATAATATTTTTATAAAAGTCTTTACTGAACGCATCTCGCTTCTCAGATGCTTTGCCATATACAAATAATCCTTAGCCTTTAAAAAATATTCGACTATTAGTCAAAATGTATGTAGCAACGCGTAATATCTAAGTTATAATTTGCAATAATTCAATAAAATATTGGGCAAACACCTTAAAAATAGGTTTATATGATTCAGTAACAGGGGAAACAACAGATAATTTATATATGCCAAAAATCAAATAGATATCCTTGGTAAAATCCTAAGAATGACAATTATGTTGGCGTGTATAAAAACCAATAAGGGGATTAGGCTTAACCTAAAAAATGCAATGTGAAGTGATTTATGATTTGCAAAAATAATAATAACAGGCATTAAGTTTTAAAATAAATAGTTATAAAATACCCTTAAAGCATTAAAGTAGATTAAGCAACTTTAAACATTTCATAAAATGATATTGGGTAATGAATTTAGAAGGAAAATCATCGCTACCCTATTCAAAAGTGATCTGCGAGTTTCTAAAACTGAGAGTTTGTTCAGAGTTTTGAAATTTAAAAAGTTTTGTGCAATTATTTTTTCAGATAATAGACCTAAAGACTTAATAATATTAGCTAATACGACATAATGATTATTAAAATACGTAATGAAGAGAATGAGTAGAAAATAGTACTAGTTGTGTTGAAACAAAAAAAGACTCTCGAAATATTTTAATGCAGTGACATTTGTAATTAAAACCGAAAGCAATAAACCTATTTTAAATAAATGATGAAATTATTAAATGTGTTGTTTGTTAATGAAATTCAAGTATATATCTAATATTACCGGAGAAAAGTAAATATAAATTTCTCATATACTCGTGTCTGAAATACGTTCAAGAAAATATTGCATTTTTAACAAATAAAATGCACCCAGTATTCGCTTATTAAGGGACCGAAAGTGAAACTCCTACCAAAAGTCGATTTTCAATTTAGAGCTTATAAATAGATCAACATTTTTTTAATTTTAAAAACACATAATTTATAAATATTTCAGCTCCATAAGAGGTTTATTGTGCAATTTAAAAAATGTGAATAAACACTTCCGCTTATCCAGCCTTCAGAACCCTTACGCAGAGAAAACTGCTGAAAAATATTTTAATGGATTTAAACAAAATCTGAGAAAAAAATTAATACCTTTTTATAGAAATGGGTATCTAAAAAACGTTGAGAGTATTGAGAGTATTACTGCTCCGACTATCCATATAAAAGATACTGCTATTTGCTTTAATGATGGAATGTATAGTTATTTTCTTTCCGTATGTGCTTATGTTTATTCTATTGTAAGAAATGCTTTTAACTCTGATGTTTCTAAACGGATTACGAATATACTTTCTCTTACATAGTTTTATATACAAATCATGATAAATTATATTATAGATCTTGAAACAGCATGGTAGCGGCGCTTCACAAAATCAATGAATTAAGAAATAACGAAGTAGAATTCAAATGTTTCATATCTAGAGAAGAGGTTTGCAACTAATAAAGGATTAAAACTAAAGGAAGACGAATAAATAGTAATATGTTGAAGCAAAATGAATGTGCCTGAGGGATGATGTATCTCTTCCATAACAGATTATATATTAATAACAAAACTTTTTCTTCATTTATCTCAAAAGCATTTTTTTAAAATTCTAGTACATATATAAAATACCTATGACATAGAGCTGCATGCATAAAATAAGATATTTACTTGCTATTTGTTTATGATTCTGTGGTGCATAATGTTTTTAGCATTATTAATTAAAGTTTAAAAATGTGTGAATTAAGGATGAGCAAATTTTATATTTTATTATTTTTACTTATATTTATTTATTTATTTATTTTGTATGCGTTTGCAAGAAGAATATGTTCACTAAATTAACAGAAGTATTTTCTGCGTTCCGTAGTGATTTCAAAGTAAGACCTATTTTAGTTCTCCGAGAATGTATACCTAAATGTGCATTTAAATCAATCTGGCTGAAATAAAATACAATGGCACTGTAAAGCTATTAATAAATAATAAACTATTTTCTTTCCCCTTTAAATATTCATAGAAAATTTAGCGTAAATCCTTTAAAGATTTTCCAATAATATATGCATATTGAGAAACCATACCAATATTTAAAAAATAGCCGACATTTATAGCTTTCAGTTTGTCGCGCCATTCTAAAATATACATAAAGTACTTAATTATTCTGTACATTTTTTCCAAAAATTAAGCAACTTAGTTTCGAGCCAGCGCATTTGTTAAGATTACAAGGCATCACGGAAGTAAACGCGGAAAATCAGCTATGCTGAGATTCTAAATTTGAATCTTCCGATTGCTTGTTGGTTATGCTACCCCTTACACCACAAAAGGAAGCACAGGGACGCAATAATTCGCTATATTTTCATCCACCCAAAGGACGCTTGGGGAGAGGGGAAGCTATGGCACTGGACCAAATCTAGGTGGTAACGAATTATTATACACCATGCCTTTTAGTTGCGCAACACTTGCTATTACACCTTTCAGAGCAGGAAACGTGAGAATGCAATTATGTTTCCGAGGATTCGAAATTCAAGCCTTCTGATACTAGACGGACTCGCTAACGTTTACATCATGAGAGCCAGCAGTCGGGATCGGAAAAGCGCTTTATATTCTTCCGAGAAAACCTAGTCGCCCAAACCAGGTTGTGACGAATTAGCGTCCATCACTATTTAGTCGATCACATTTCTACGAAAGGATGAGAAATTCACCATATAGAGGTCATACAAGATATAATCAACTATGAACCCATAGTAGGAAATATTGTAAAAAGACATCGCACAATTCAACTAAGTTCATTATGGTGGTGAAATTGTAAATATGTACGAAATTCAAGTTCTTCTTTAGTATTATTTTATGTGTCAACTAACAAAGCAAGATCAAAGACTTTGTATTCCCTGCGAAAGTAGAGTAGGACTTGACTTATTTTTTCAATACTTAAAAATTAATAATTATATAACATTGTGAATATATATTCACATTTTAATCATATATATATATTTACATTTTGATTCACGTCATAAATTGGAAATTTAAAAATTGTTAAATACTTAACAAAGCAGAGCTGGACTTTG